GTCACATCTGTAACCCTAGCACTTTGGGGGGCTGAGGTGGAAGGATCGCTTGAGGCCAGCCTGGGCAACATAGTGAGACCCTATCTTTACAAAAAGTAAAAAAAATTAGCCAAGCATTAGGAGCTACTCAGGAGGCTTAGGTGGGAAGATTATTCGAGATCAAGAGTTTGAGGCTGTAGTGAGGCACAATCCCGCCACTGCATTCCAGCCTGGGTGCCTGTCTCAAAAAAGTGGAAATTTTAGAGAAGTTCATGGAGAAAGTATTTTTATATTCTTCTCAGGGTTGAGGAAGCCAATATATACTGTACGCCAACATACAAATGATGAAATATGTGAACAAGATTAAGTGATTTCAGTCATTTGACAGTTCCATCAAATTTCCAAATATCCTTAAAGATTTTGTTATACAATTAAGATATAAAGAAACTATATTTAAAAGTGACTGTCTTCAAATGGCCATGATAAAAATGCCTTTTAGGTGAGAAGGTACTACAATTAACGTATGAAATTTCAAAAGACATGCTATAGAAGACCACAAATTTAAAAGTATACCATTATTAGTACAGTCATGTGTCACTTAACAACAGGGATACATTCTGAGAAATGCATCATTAGGTGGTTTTGTTATTTGAGCATCATAGAGTGTACTCACACAGACCTAGATGGTACAGCCAACTACACACCTGGGCTATATTGTGTACCCTCTTGCTCCTAGGCTACAAACCTGTACAGCATGTTAGTGTACTGAATACTGCAGGCAATTATAACACAATGGGAAGTATTTGTGTATCTCAACATGGAAATGGTACAGTAAAAAAATATGGAATCATAATCTTATGGAATAGCCATCGTATATGTGGTCCATCGTTGACTGAAATGTCAATCTGTGGCATGTGACTCTGCACACCTTGTCTAGATCTGTCTGCTGACAGGATCCAGATCCTGGTTTCTAAACACCATTCTCCAATAAAAGGAATCAGAACTCCTTGGAGTAGTGGTTGATTCCAGGCCTGGGGCAGGGGAAAATCAAGATTAGCCTGGAACATCTTGTGGTGCAAAAAATAAGGAAGTGTCCCAAAAGGATAGAGGCTAATTGGAAGGACACTGGAGCCAACCTGAAGGCATTCCCAACAGCCCAAGCCAGAACAACTTGAACAATAAAATAAAATAAAATAAAATGACAGTGTTGGATTATAGCTCATAGAATAAAATAAATATCCATGAGTCCATATTGATATAAATAATTGAATAAATAAATATATGGAAGAGAAGAGTCAGCTCTTTGTTATAGTAGAATTCCAACTGATAAATACAGAAGGAATGAGGGAAATAGAAAATCACCATTAGGCAAACACCACAGTAATAATTATTACAGGTAAGGACCTTCAACGCCTGCTAAAATTCTGAAATAAAAGAATAAGGA